TCAAGTGGTAGAGTGTTCACCTTGAGCTGAAGAGCTGAGGGACAGTGCCCAGGCCCAGAGTTCAAGCCCCACAACTGACAACCCGTCCCCCAACAAAACAGACAACATATTGATGAAAACATCAATATGGTTCATCATTGATTACCAACAACAGTGCACTATTTTATATATTTCTACCTTCTAAACTATACCTTACTCTTTCTTAAAATATATGAGTTTGATGGAGAATAGCCCCTCAATACTAACATATTTAACACAATCTCTTATTCGGCCAAGACTTTAAAGCTTGTCCATTCTTAAGTGTTGGTTGTGTTTTGAGCACATGCGTAGGACCTGCTGCTGGCCAGATGTCTCTGCTGTCCTTCTCCCTTGCCCTTTAGTAGCCCTACTCCCTCACTGATGATAAAGCTCATTTTTGTTCCTCCACAAAGACCTGCCCCTAACTCATCTCCATGACATCTGAAAGCAATACAGAGTCCTTGTGCATTGATGGCCTATATCACAGAGGCTTCAGGATTCCCCAGAATGTCAGAGCTGACTGGACCTAAGCTCAGCTTTTCAGGAGTGACTACTCAGTAAGACAATTACAATAGGAACTGAAATAAAGCTTCCTAACTGCTCCTTTCCCAACTCCTCCCTCTTTTTTAATGTAACTTTTTTCATCTTTGTGACTAAGAGATAAATAAAGGGCCTAAGAGGAAGAGCTGATCTGAAGCAGAATGCTAAGACTTTGAGGTTGAGTTTGAAGTTCTGAAAGTCTGGCTGAATCAGAGAATCGGGAGCTTGCGGGTCCCAGGCTTGCTGCCCTCACTCTGCTGAATGACCGCAGGAACCCTGCATCCTCCCTCATCGATTCCTCTGAAACTCCAACTCCTCCTGTTCAGCTTTTCAGCCGCCATTTTAGTACCTGCTCTTAGGGGGGGATGATATCCTTACCAGTCCCCATAGCGATGACAAGGCTCCTAAGACAGAGTCATTCGTAACCAAACATTTTTATTTCTCACAGTTCTGGAGGCTGAGAGATACAAGACAGTGGTGGCAGACAATTTTGGTGTCAGGTGAGGACTGTGTCTGCTTCAGAGATGATACCTTGTTTGTTAGGTCTTTCCATGGCGTAAGGCAAAAGAGCAAAAGGACAAATACTGTGTCTTCACATGGGAAGGGCTTCAGATGGGAGAGCTCCAGGGCTCTGTGAAGCCTGTTTTATTTATTCATTCATTTGCTTGCTTGCATGCTTAATTTATGGTCCTAGGATTTGAAGTCAGTGCTTCACATTTTCTAGGCAAGTGCTCTTACTCCTGAGTCATGCCCCCAGTCCTTATTTTTGCTGGTTACTTTTGAGGTAAAGTCTTGTGTTCTGACTATACACACACACACCTGTGTGTAATCTACCTATGTGATACCTCATATACAGCCAGAATAAAAGGCATATTTCACTGAATCCAACTCTCCATTGAGAAGGGGGAGGGGGAGTCTTATGAACTTCTCTGCCTGGTCTGGTCTTGAACTGCCATCTTCCTAATTTCAGCTTCCAAAGTAGGTAAGATTCCAGGTGTGAGCCACAGTGCATGGCTATTAAGGGCTTTAACACTGTTCGGTAGGTCTGCTCTTATGGAATTCATAAAGTTCCATCTTTTTAAATTTTTTTTTTTTGTCGGTCATGGGGCTTGAACTCTGGGCCTGGGCGCTGTCCCTCAGCTCTTCAGCTCAAGGCGAGCGCTCTACCACTTGAGCTA